ACGATAATATTTATTTTGGCATTAGCGACACCAAGAAGCTTGTATTACTCATACCTTTAGAAAATAACTTTTATAAGCTTCCTTATCTGTTTTCCTATTCGATCTATCCATGATCTTGAAAGTTGTTGATCTTCATCTTGACTGTCATCTGAAGATATACTAGGCAGCTGCCTGCAATTATTTTAGTAATTTTAGAATCTAGTAGAACCAAATTAGCAGACTGCAAAGTATACAGAATAGACCAACAAAAACTTTTCATACAGGTTTTATTTTTATTGATGCAAAAATATATAAAAAACTCTTGGATTATTCTCTAATTTCAACCCCCAAAGTAGAGGTGCTCTTTGTCTCTAAAATCAATAATATAAAGAGTGCCATCTAATATGGTTTTAGTTGTTTTTATTTAAATTTTCAACGGCACTTGGTATTTTAAATGTAATTATGTAACGGCTGTCTGTTATGATATTGGGGTTAGTTGCAATGGGTTAGTTGCTTTTTCTTAAAAAAAAACGCAGTAACTGGTGCATTTAGATTACACCAAAAAAATTGAACGAAGTAACATGTAATATGTTATAAAGGTTAATTCAAAATAGATGAAACGGGTAAAGTGAAAATAATCGAACAGGATGTGAAGTTTAAAAATTACTTGGTGAATTACAAATCCTACACATTATATTTAACAATATCTCAATATAAATAACTATAAGACCAGGATCTATTTTATTTTAAGTAGTGAATATACTTGGTTCTGATATCTTAGTTTTGCATTAACGCTAATTTAAGAATAGAATAATCTTTCCATAAATTAACACCAAATAACAAGGTAAACTTGATGTAAATATTTGGAGATTAAGGAAAAAGAAACATAAAGAACTGCTGACAAAGTGGTGGAATAAAAAAAAATTACGTGTCTATGCCTAGAATTCTTTTACAAAATAAGCAGAGGCCACATTAAACTAAAGTTTTTTCTTTAAAATCAAATGAATTAGAGATTTGCTCACAGCCTAATAAAGAACAATGATTCTAGTATATTTTCGAGAATTTCAAAGGCCCGTTCAAAGTAAAAAAAATATTTAATTGCACTTAGTTCTTTAGATCTCTAAGAATCATCTTAATAATTTGGGCAAGTAAGAGAGTACAAATTTACATGGATACAACTTACTAGGAATCTGCGCTCGATAATCGACTATGTAATACAACGTCAAACTTCCCAGCTGAAAACAACTAACGTAAGGGTATACCGTGGATCAGAATGTGGATCCGACCATCGTTTAGTTATGACCGACGTGATGGTTAACTATCGCAAAAACAATAAGACACAGGTACAGAATATAGAGAAAGGACAAGAAGTAACATCCGCTAAATATAACATAGAAAGCTAAAGAAGGTTCAACGAACTTTCTTTACAAATTACGACTGGCCACAAAACTATAAAATGTAGATCGAGAAAATGTATCAGCGGAAAAATTATACCAGCAACTTAAAAAATGCATTTATGAGGCTGCTAGTGAAGCTTTGGGTTATAAAGAAAAACATGAAACAAAAAGTCAAGAATGGTGGTCGGAGAATATACAAACGTTGGTTAACAAGAAGAAAACTGCTTATCAGAAATGTACGTCAACGAGAAAGAAGGAAGATTACAAGATATATCAAAAATTAAATCGAAATGTAAAAAGGGAAGTAGTGAAAAGTAAAAATTAGATGTGGGATCGAAGATGTGCAAAGGTAGATAGATAAATAGGTGGAACAAAAGTTGGGAAAACTTGTAAGGTAATAAAGTCTCTCCGGAGAGAAGCAACGGAAATAACTAACTTACAGTTAATAGATCTGAAACAGTAAAAACACCATTATGAGGTCTTACTGACAGAGGATAGATGTAAATTCCAAGAGATCGAAATGGAAGAAATATCCAAAAACACACAAATAATTGAGATAACAACCGGAGAGCTAAATGATGCCCTCAAAAGATCGAAAAACGGTCAAGCAGCAGGACCTGGAGACATTCCAATTGAGTTGGTAAAGTATCGACAAAAATATTACATGAGATGTTGGTTCAACATCTCATGCATATTTAGCAAATGCTTAAAAGGACAAAATATCCCTGACAACCCCCAAGAATCCCCCAAGAAAGGGGATAAACGCAAATGCTCTAATTATAGGGAAATAACTATTACCAGCTCAATGGTGTGGTTGTACGGTCGAATAATAAAAGAAAGAATAGAATCGGTATACAAAGACATAGGCGCCCATAGAGAAGGCATACGATACGGCACCTTCGAAAAAACTGTTTCAAACATTGAAGAAAGTAGGTCTCAGTAGAGAGTATGTGAATGCTATCGCAAATATTTACAAAAATGCAAGAAGTGTCGGTTAAGAAGGAAACTTTATATCTGAAGCATTTCCAATAACAAAGGGGCTTAAACAAGGATGTTGCCTATCTTCGACCTTATTTTAAATATATATTCAATTATCGCTAGAGCGGTGGAGGAAACAAGTATCCGGAACGGGAATAGACATAGGCGGTGGTAAATGTCTAACAACTTTATTTTTCGCAGATGATCAGGTAGTCGTAGCGAATGATGAGAAAGACATGAACTACATGTTTAGAAAACTAAAGAAAGAATATGAAAAATGGGGCCTCAATATGAATATGTCAAAGACAGAATATCTTAAAATAGGAGATGACGAAGAAGATCCAGAGTTAGAAAATAGAAACACAAAAACATGCAATGAATATAAATATCTCGGATCTATAATACCTAAAGAAGGCACTACCTTCTTCGAGAGACATCGAAAACAGGACGCAGCAGGGAAAAAAGCGGTTAACATTCGAAACTCTCTACTATGGTCTAAAGATATTAGGCAAGAAACAAAATTGACAATCTATCGAACCTTAGTAGAGCCTATTATGACTTATGGGGCAGAAGTTTGGCAGATCACGAAAAAAGATAGCAAAATAATAGAAGTAGTAGAAATGGATTTTCTAAGGAGAGCATGTGTTGTTAAAGAGATTAGAAGGAGGCAAATACTGTATGTTCCAGGGTACACAGAATTGAAACGAGACAACTAGTGTGGTATGGTCACGTGAAGCGAATGAATGAAGATAGATGGCCAAAGAAAGTTTTAAATTACAAAATAAAACAAAGCAAGAAGAAGTGGAAGGCCTTCAGTTGCCTGGAAAAAAATGTACGACACCTAATGAGAGATAGAGCCATCAAAGAGAACGAATGGATGGACAGATAACGATGGCATTTGAAATGCGAGAGACGGCAGAGGCTGTAGGACCTCGCTTATATATAAGTAAGAGAGTAAATTAAACAAAAAAATTGATGGGAAAATAAATAAGAAAAGAGAGAATATATTTTGTACGACTACAAAGCACAATTTATATATTGGGAACTTGCTTCTTATAAAGAATATTAACATTACCAGAGGTATTGGGATTCCAGAGTTTAACTGAATAAGAGCCATTTTCGAACATGTCGTGTTTGAACAACTTTGGTCTTTTACTTACTTATCTGCCACCTTGAATGCTGTTACTGTAGAGGTTATTTCTAAGAAAAACAATTCTTTTGATCACGCGCTCCGCTTTTGCTTTTTTTAGAAGAAAGTTGATTTCTAAGTTAAAAAGTTTATGCTCTTACATAGACAGTATAGGAAGAAAATTCCATACTGACCAATTATTATCATTGTTGAAGACTTAAACGGTAAGTTGCGTAAGCGACTGGATAGTAATCTTCTTCTTCTTCTTCTTCAGCCTGTTTGCATCCACTCCTGGACAAAGGCCTCCCCATGAGTTCTCCACTCTTCCCTGTTTTGTGCTATTTGGTGCCAGTTTCTCCCCATTTTTGCTTTGATGTCGTCTAGCCATCGTTTTTGTGGTCTTCCTCTACTCCGACTGTGTTCGCGTGGTCTCCAATGTACAATGTTTTTCGTCCATCTGTCGTTGTTTTGCCGTGCCACGTGCCCTACCCAGTTCCATTTCATTTGTGCAATTCTTCCAATTACATCTTCCACCTTCGTCCTGCTTCGTATGTCCTCGTTTCGTATATGTTCTCTCAGTGATACTCCCAACATAGCTCGTTCGATGGCCCTCTGTGTTGTTCTTAATCTGTTGGCTGACAACTCTGTAAGTGTCATGGTCTCCATTCCATAAGTCATAACCGGTAGAATACAACTGTTGAATACCCTTTTCTTTAGATTTATTGGTATCTTTTTGTTCTTCAACACATCACTGAGTCTGCCTACTGCTGCCCAAGTCATTCGGATTCTTCTAGTTATCTCTGCTGTTTGATTCTGTTTGCCTAGTTTGATGGTGTGACCTAGGTATATATACTCTTCGACACTTTCGATCTCACTTCCATCTAAGTCGATTGTGATATTTTGATTTGTCATTACTTTTGTTTTATTTAAATTCATTTTTAAACCGATTTTTTCAGATTCTTGTTTAAGCTCCTTCAGCATGTAGATTAGTTCCTCTGTATTGTTGCTTATGAGTACTATGTCATCGGCAAATCTTAGGTGGCTTAAAAACCTGCCATCAATTTTAATTCCGAGTTGTTCCCAATTTAACTTCTTGAACACATCTTCTAATGCAAGAGTAAATAATTTTGGAGATATGGTGTCTCCCTGTCGAACACCTCTTTCTGATCTTATTTTGTTTGTTGTTAGGCCTTCTGCTACATTTATTTGCATAGTTGCATTGTCGTATATGTATTTTAGGAGCATTCTATATCTGGAATCTATCCTTGCGTTGTTCATTCCGTCTAATACCGCCCAGAATTCTATGGAATCGAATAGTAATAGATTTTTTTAAATATTTTGGCATTGAAAACAGAAATAAGAGAAGAGAACGATTGCTGCGAGATGATTCATTACCAAACAAGTAAGCTAAACATTTAGCTCACTTAATTGGTATTAAGAGTAAGAGCAATCTACAATTACCTACTAATATATCTAAATAACTTACTAAACCTAACTCTACATGCTACCATACATACCCAAATTCATATCCATCTGGTCTCACGTCACTATTGGCTTTTATAATCACGGAACCGGGATTGACATTTGCAGGTAATGCAACACTTAAAGCAATTAGCGCAATAAAAACAACAACTGTGAACTTCATATTTAGAGAAGTTAATACAAACTGATACAAATCTGATCTAACTTTTTTCTATTTAAATATAAAAATGTTTATGGTATTATAAAGGTCATGGTGGGTCAAACATGATGGGTTGGTATAGTTTTCATAGATATTTACTCTCTTTTGCATTTATATTACGAAATGTGTGTCAGCAAGAAGAGATTAATGATATGTAAAATTATTCAGCCAGATTAACGTTGACCATATTAAAATACCAGGGTACATCCAAAATTATCCGAGAGAACAAATAAAATATAAATATATCAAACATATATATATATATATATATATATATATATATATATATATATATATATATATATATATATATATTATACAGATTTATTTATAAATAAATTTATAAATAAATAAAAGAACAATTGAAGAATGAATTTTGTTTTTCTTATAGACAACTAGTTATGTGGTTTAACTTAGTGTTCATTAAAACATATAGTTCTGATGAAATGATACCCCAACAGGTCCCATAAAGTAGACAGTCGCCACTATTCTACTAAAAGAAGATCAAATGAGAGGACCATACTCCAAAATCGATAAAACTAAACTAAAGTATAACATTTTTAAAGTTTGTACTGAAAACTGATTACAAATTCTAAAAATAAATCACATCTCTAAGTCTTAAAAATAAAGGTCGTCATCAACCATTAAAAAGTTACTACTTTTAATGACTGATGACATACCATTAACAAATATATTAAATAAGAGAGGCCCAATATGGGACCCCTGAGGAACTCCTGAGGTCAAAGATACTCGCTGAGATAAACAATTTGCCTACTTTACATACTGACATCTACCAGACACATAACTACTTATTCAATCAAGTATTTTACCTCCAAATCCATAGTCCCGTAAGTTAGCAATAAGCACATCATGTTTAACTCTATCGAAGGCTTTAGAGAAGTCTGTGTAATTAGCATCAACCTGACTCTTATATTCAACTGAATTAGCAACAAAATTAGTATACAATATTAAGTTCGTGCATGTAGACTTACCTTCAGAAAAACCATGTTTTTAAACATCGATTAAATCTTTACAATCCCATGTTAACAATTTATTTACAAGACATTCAAATAATTTGGGTAATACTGATTAAAGATTGTTAAATTACTGATTTTCCAAATATCAGAAAGATACTAGTACTCAGTGAGTAATTAAATAAATAGTGGATAGGTTTTAAAAGAATAAAAATGCATTGCCTAAGTACAAAAATCTGGTCCAAGCGATAATTGTCAAGGCGTCTTTAAACCCCTATCAATTATTTCAGAAAGTCTAATATTATATTGATTCACATTGACACTGTCGATAGTTAAAAATTGGTATCTGATTAGTTTTAAAATAAAAATATTTAGTTGAAAAAAAATACCAAATATATTAACTATGTCTTGACCATTATCATATAGTTTTTGGTTTTCCTCTGATGGCTGCCCGGGTGAGAACAAAAAACTACATATGTAGCCGCTTTTTATATATACAGATGCAGGTACTGAAATAACCATCAGAGATAACTCACGTATATCCAATACGAGAATATTTATACCTATCTTCATACCAGAAGAATAGGATGATCTTATTCGGCAGTCAAGGTCTAAGCCTTCTTCATTTAAAGTGGTTAATGCTGGAAAAGAAACTGACTCGTTTTTTATGCACTAAAGTTTTAAAGAATCTTAAATGACTTATTTTTAAAGAAACCATAACCAAAAATTTTAGTGAAAGCAGCAAGAATGTACCGTATATCTAAGGAGTATTCTGGACAAGTTTTAATACGTCAAAATTATCACGGTTCATGGATGTTCCACACCATTACTGAAAAAAATATACCATAACAAATAACTCTGATATCAAATAAAGCGAAAAATAAAATAAGTTAACCAAAGTTTTGCGATCTAATAGAATGAACTCTATATATCAAGAATCCTCTTAATAAAAAATTATATCTTAATCTAGAGCCAGAATTCAGGGAAACCAAGGACCATACTCCAGTCACAGAACTATTTAGCGATGATAATAACAATAGTGTAGAATAAACATCATAGAATTTTTTGTGATTTCTACGATTATATATTATTATATATAAATAATATTGGTTTATTTTCCAATATAGTTTGCCGTTATAAAGCTTCTTCCGATTTTTGTTTAAAATATTAATAAAAACATGAAATTAACTTGTCGAATGAGTTTGATATCCATATTCCTTCCTATGAATATATTAGTAACAGTAAGATTTGAAATAAATTGAAGCTGGGCAGTTTTTCTTACTGAAATACTAAAATCACTCTGGTGATCTTAAATAAATCAAATGTACTGTTCTTAACTTAGCGGTATTATTGTTGTCAGTGTTTCATCTGTTCTAATCGAATTTCTCCTCAGTATACTCTTCTTTATTAAATATGACCTTAGAACCTACAAAAGGTCATCAAAAGTTGTATTGGACATAATATAATAATTAAAAAACTTTTTTAAATTATTATCAAAACATCATTATTAAAAAAAAGCAGGGATATTGTCTTATACTGTAGCATAAATGTGTCCTTATAACTATCGAATATGTAAAATGTATAAAAATTTATTTGATACGTTTCTGGCTGGTATTATCCGACAAGTGAGATCTGGGGGGTGAGCTGCGCGAAAATAGAAAAGAAATTATTTTAAGAGAGATAGGAGAGGTACTTAATCGCTGGTGTCATAAATTCGTAGTTGCAGTATCAAAAATTTAGTTGGGATCTGAAAATTACGTTAATAGATATGTTCCGTGGTTGTGTCACTGCGTGTGTATAAATAAACTTATTTACCTCGAAAACAAAATAAAAGTAACAAGTCATCATCATCATCAGTGGTGCTACAGCTCTAGTTGAGCCTTGACCTTCCCCAGTCTATTTCGCCAGTCGTTTCTGTTCATCGCCAACCGTTGCCAATTTGCCGCGCCGATTTTCCTTGCGTCCTCGTCCACACCGTCCCTCCATCTCAGTCGTGGTCTGCCTCTACTCCTATTTCCCACTGGGACCGATAATAGAGTTCGTCTGGGTGGGTAATTTTCATTTGCTCTTGACACATGTCCAGCCCATCTAAGCCTACCTATTTTTATGAAGGATATTACATCTCTACCATTTACTATTTTTTTATACTTCTCGTACAATTCGAAATTATATTGCCTTCTCCAAATACCATTCTCACAGAATGCGCCCATTATTCTTCTTAGTATCTTCCTTTCGAAGACGAGCAGAAGATTTGCGTCTGTTTTGGAGATGGTCCATGTTTCTGACCCATATGTCAGCACTGGTAGGATGAGTGTTCGATATATTATTAGTTTGGTTTTCTGGCTTAAATTTCTGTTTTTTAGCTACTTGCATAGTCCAAAATAACATTTGTTTGCTAGCAGTACCCTCCGTTTAACTTCTTCAGATGTGTCATTATCGTTTGTTATGAGAGAACCCAAATATGTAAACTTATTTACTACCTCAAAATTGTATTGTGTATTATAAGTGCTTAACCCATCTGCTTTGTACTGCGTCAGCGGTACTGACTATATGTCCATTTTTGTCTCTACACATTATCAGCCGTGGTTTAAATTCTTTTCTTGTCTTATTTAGGATATTATAGAACTTTCTAGTTTCATTTTGCGCCTTTAATGATTGAAGCTCTTGCATAATCTGGTTTTCGGAGGTCCGCTTTTTCCTTCGATGTATGCGTTTTTCCTCCTTCCTAAGATCTTTGTACATTTGCTCCTTATCCCGTGTTCTTCTTTGTTGCATAAGTTTATATGCATAATTTTTTCTTTTAGTGATATCTTCACATTCATCGTCGAACCAACTGTTGCGTGGAGTGGATTCTTCTGGTCCTAGGACGTTGTTTGCCGCTTCCTTAATTGTTCTTCTACATATATCCCATTGCTCGCTAGCTGTTAAATTCTCATCTGTTGTGCTTCATGTCAAGGTAATTTTGATACCTTTCTAGTGCACGGGGCTCTTTCAAGAGTTTTAGAATTGTAGCGAGTACTTTTCTTACCCTTTTCTTTTTTTGCATTTGAGATTCTTGCTCTTATTTTTGCGCCTACTAAGAAGTGGTCTGAATCTATATTAGCTCCACGATAAGTACGTACATCCATTAGATTAGAGAAGTGCCTGGTTTCTATTAGGATGTGATCTATTTGATTTTTGGTTGTACCATTAGGCGACGTCCATGTTACTTTATGGATATTCTTATGGGGGAAGTAGGTACTTCCAACGACCATGCCCTTGGATGCTGCAAATCCTATTATTCTATTTCCATTGTCATTGGTGACGTCATGAGCGCTGCATTTTCCGATGTATGGACTATATATATCTTTCCCTATTTTTGAATTAAGATCTCCAATTACGATCTTGATGTCGTTTCTGGGACAGATAGTCTCTACTTCCTCATAGAATTGATCTTTGACATCCTCTTCTTTGTCTTCGGTTGGGGCATCTACATTTATGAGACTGATGTTAAAAAACTTACCTCTTATATTTAGGTAACATATTTTTGGGCTTATTGGTTTGAAGTCCATAATAAGATGTTTTACTTTTTTGTTAACAATAAATGCGGTCCCGAATTCGTGATTATTCTTGTGACAGCTGTAATATATATCGCATTGTCTCTTTTGGATAATTCCTTGGCCAGTCCATCTTACTTCTTGCACAGCAGTAATGTGTGCTTTATATTGGGTTAGTATGTCTATTATTTTTTTAAGATTTCCAGGTTCATAAAGTGTCCGCACATTCCACGTGTAAATTTTTAAATCTTTGTCCTTATTTCGTTACATTGGTCGTCGTCGTAAGTTCCGTCCGGTTTCTTTAGCTGTAGATCTCGTAACGATATTTTTTTTACGGGGTAGAGTTGTTAGCCCTAAGCCCAACCTCCAACCTGGAGGGCCAGGGACTCTTCTGTTAGGGTTACCATACCTTAGTCCGTTTTGATTCACGGGTGGTATTTTATGTCCCACCTAC